CTCGACACCACTTCTGAAGACGGAGTCAAGAGTCCAGAGGGATAAATCTATATATATATATATCTTGTGCACCTGACATTGTGCTTCACCCGGAAAGTTCGCCTTGCAAACACCTTGCTGGCTTTTCCGATGTGAAGTGTGGGGATGGTTGTTGGTGGAAGATGTTGTTTGGTCAGTCCATAGATTATATATTGCAAACACAGCCATACTTTAGCCTCCTTTAGCCATGAATTACAAAATGTGGCCCAACATCGGGGTTGATCGAAAAGGTTTGCGCACAACACTTCACATGTTTAGTTGGAATACAAAATCCGTCACGACAGTCCACTATTTTTACACCCAAGTATAGGTGTATGTCGCTTTGCAAGGGTTGCACCTCCCAAACTTCCGTGCTCCAGGCGTCCTTTGAGACGTGAAGCAACTTTTGAAATGCTAGGGGTGCTCCCTACATGATGCCTGAATGCCTGATGCAGTCAGCCCTGTCAGGTGACCTGTTGAGGTTGATCATTTGCCTTCTATGGGTTTGAGATAATTTAAAATTCACTGGGATTGTAGGCCTACGGCAAGCAAGAGACAAATGAGCTGGAACATGTTCTCAAATAGAGGTTTTTAGTTTGATCGAAACTTTTGTGGTTAATTACCACATTGGAATGAGGAGGTCATTGGTTGGACTACCTCTCAAGGTCTCTCACTCAGTGAAAAACGGGTGCGCTGCTGGTCAAGCATTGTGCTCATCAGGCCACCAATTATAGCCCGGAGAACCGATTGTAATGTCCTTGAGGGGTCCTTAATTATTTTCTACCAATGGCTTCTTTATAATTTTGGTCCTTTGCAGCTGTCCCTTTTCAGATCGTTCGTTCAAGTGATTCTGACCTGCTGCTCAAGCTGTTGTTGAAGCTGCCCTGGTTGAGAGCCCAAGTGCCCGCGTGCCCTTGACCGTGCCTGTTTGGAGACCCCTTGGCAAATATTTGGAGAGATATGGAGAGTTTCTCAAGGATGCCAATGTGACAAGCCACGAACTTGACTGAGAAAAGCACTGAAAGACAGGGCACACTGAAGGGACACCAATAGGTTGGAGAAGGGTAAAAGACCCTTGTCATCGTGTCCGGAACTGCGACGCAGAAAGTGGGTGCCCGGAACTGCGTGAAATCACGATCGTCCCCTTCTTCGAGTTGGCTCTACTAGTACTAGTAGCCACCCCAGGTTTTGGTTTCAGGTACCTTGTAAAGGTACAGAACTGTGATAACCCGAAGTAAGTTCATGAACACTTCAACACTCTCAGTGGGTCACGAAGTAAGTGTTTGGTGGAAGATCCAGCACCTGGAAGGCCCGCACTGATGTGCAGTTCTTGGTGACGAGGACGAAACCAGATTGGAAGTGCCATCGTGGGACAGGACAAACTTCTTTGGTATTTCGATGACCCAGCAAAGCCTAGATTCATCAAGTGTTGTTCACGTGCACGATCGTACATGACTCAGCATGAGCTTTGTTTGAAGTCTTTTTTCTTCAAGCTCACAATTCGGCTTAAAAGCCAAGGATCACTACTGATCAGACTATGCTGCTCCTTTCCGCAAATGTTTCAGCACAATTTGTTGCAGCTGGCGAAGTAGGTCGAATCAAACGCATCACAACACCAAATGCATCAAAACACCAAACCCAACCAGAGGGTGTTCCTTTTTGTTGAGGTTATCCTGGAATTTAGGGATTTTCTTCTTTGCTGTCAGGCTTTCTTCTCCCTTGGGACTTATATGTCGCACCGCCCCAACAGACTCTGGACCTCAGCTGGAGAGGTCTTGCTCCATTTTCCTTCTTTCCAGGCAGTCTTGGGGTGGGTCTCCGGTCTCCCTGTTGTATGTAATGCAAACCCATATATTCTGTAAAGGCTTGACGGTACGATTATAGATTGTTGTTGGTTTGGTTTGGTTTGGTTTGGTTTGGTTTGGTTTGTTTGTTTGCTTGCTTGCTTGCTTGCTTGGTTGGTTGGTTGGTTTGGTTTGGTTTGGTTTGGTTTGGTTTGGTTGGTTTGGTTTGGTTTGTTTGTTTGGTTGGTTGGTTGGTTGGTTGGTTTGTTTGTTTGTTTGTTTGTTTGTTTGTTTGTTTGTTTGTTTGTTTGTGTTTGTTTGTGGTTGTTTTTGTTTTTTTTGTGTGTTTTTTTGTGGTTCCTTTGGGAGAAACCTCCCGGCTTCCCATGCGTCCGGCCACCTGATTTGGCAACGAAGCGGACGTCTTGAACTTGAGTGATTAGAAGAAGAAATTGAGTAATGCTCCTGACGATTTCCAACCTCAAATTCCCAACATCCAGTGTTGTCCCAACAGTCTTGGGGACGCAAAGGAAGCCTTTGGTCATCCCATTCGCCAGTTTGTGTGATTCATGTCCACCGGCTTGAGGCTGGGCCTGAAGAAGAGCAGCTGGAGCAGGCTGGAGCAGCTGCAACGAGGGTACTGACTGGCCTACCCAGTCAGTGGATAACGTTGAACCCTTTTGAGGGATTGGTTCCCCCACTCAAATCCAAGAGGTGGTTGTTCCAGGGTTAACTCTATGGTTACCCGGTATTTTTCGGGGAAACTCAGGGGTCCCTCGAGGGTAAGGCGACGGTTTTGGAAAGGAAACAAACCGATGAAGGATTCAGGTTCACTCTGCACGTCGCTCTCTTGAGGGGTACTCAGGAAGATGTGTTGGTCAAAAGGGGTTAATCAGGCATTTTTAGACAAGAGCTTTAGATAGCTTTAGCATATTACATCTATATACATGGTCTACACATGTCTACACTACATGTTGTTTGTTCAGAGTTGTTCGGAGGCAAAAGCACCCATTTCACAAAAATATTGGCGTCCTTAAAAGGTTGGAAGACCTTGTTTTCAACGCAAAGCCACATAGGTAAAGGAGTAAAAACATGGCGTCATGTGAGCTGCTCGTTCCTCACTCATGGGATCCTTGTGGTTCACTCATCGCTTGGGTTGGTCCGTTCTTCTCCGGGAGGCATGGCTGAGCATGACGTAAACATGTTGACCAAGCAGTACATATGCCGATCAGTTTGGGTGGTTTTGGAGGTTCAATGTAAGCATATATGGCATACATGGAGTCTATGGGGTATAATGCAGGGATTCGACCAGAGCTTTTTCACCCGGCCGAGCCCCGTTTTAGCCTTCTTTGTCACAGCCGGATTCGCCAGGCCTCACACGCCGCGGATGAGCAACTTGCACGCACTTGCCGTGTGGTCTTGTGAGGAATTGACTGGGCAAAACAAATGATACATTTGATCATGTTTTTCTTGCTTAGAATCTGCTGCTACAAGTTCAAGTCATTGTTTCAATATACAGTAAATTACAGTATATATACTGTACTGTAACTTTTAATCACCAAACTCCGTGAAAGGAAGCTGAACTCATTCTGGAAATTCCCAGACTGAAACAGTGAAAACAAGATCCCCAAATACTTTCGATTAGCCGTCTTCGACCAAACGAGGCAGTGCTCATGACTTCGTTGCCAGCATCTTTGCATCATGGGCCGAATACGCTTCTTAAGCTTTGACCACCCCGCCGCAGAATCTGGTCGACCAACCACCAACCAGCAACCACTGGGACCGCAATCTGATGGCTTCACCCGAGAATTCTCCACCGTTTGGAATGGCGAACCGCGGGCGACTCGAGGAAGAACTGCGGCCCGGGTTGTTGGGGTCCGGCACTGCAAAGCACGTAAGCCTTCGGTGGGGACTTGCTCGTTATGCAACGTGCACAAAGTAAATGGTCGAAGATATGTGTGAACCGTCAAGGTGATAGTCAGCTACAGATCAATTGGTTGGCTTTCCAATTGTTTTTTTACTCGGCAAGTCTAACATCCGTCTTTTCCTGGCACCTTCTCATGCTCATGCCTCCCGCCAGGTGGATTGTGAAGTTCCAAAGCACTGGGCAGGTTCCGGGATTGGGCGGGAATCAAGCCACATGTTGCAAGTCTATTCCCAGCTAGAGGCTATGGCTCCAACAAGAAGAAGCAGGGAACCGCAGACGTTGGTTCGTTTGTCCCGGTTCCCTTTTTGAGCGCCCTGTGGACCAGACACGGAGGGTCTTCACAACATCGCCAAACCTAGCAACAGCTTAGCAAAGAGTTTGTCCTGGGTCAGTGGACTGACTGAAATCTGAAGGAAAACCATAAGTCCACGACTCTCGAGAACATGATGTCGCAGCGTGGACAGCAAAACAATGTGGCTCTGACGCGAAGAGAAATAGACCCCATGAACTCCGTGGGGCAGGAGACTACAATATGAAGTATCTTAGATTATGTAGTCATATACTAGACTATATACTATAATTGTAATATTCTCTTGGGGCATGAAAGTCTACTTTAGATGCTTGAATGCTTTTTCTGATTCAGCAACCGTGACTTCTATCCGATGTGAAGCCAAAGATGCGGAATGACATGTTAAGACCAGAAATATGTGAGTGAAAAGGACTCCAGGTGTCCCAAGGTTATCGTGTAGAACACTTGCACTTTCGTGTTCCTGCAAGATCTTAGTACTGTTAGTTCGTAAACAATTGATTATATGTTGATACATTTTACAATCTGAATAGGGAGTTATTAGTCAAGATTATATATACATGCGTTTTCTTCCTTGTTTTTCAGCTTGGATTGAAGGTAGCGGCCTTCTTGCTGTGCAATCATTATCATAGCAGATTTGGATTTCCTCCTGGTCGAAACCTGGTCCATGAGCGACCCAAACCTGATCGCTTTTTGGCTGCGCAGGGGGTCTCCACTATTTGAGATGCACCTAACAGCCGGCTGATGACCCCGTAACTTCTTGAAGTGTCGCAAAACCCTCCCTATCTCTCCCAACATGTTGGACCGCGTGCAACCAGTCAAAATAAATTTGACTGATGCATTCCGAATTGGTTTGGTACCTTGAAACAGAACTTACTGAGAGTCCGAATGGGGTGTCTTCCGGGTCCGCGTTCGCCAGGAACTCACCGCGAAGGTCCATGCCGCGCGCTGCAGCGGCGATGTGATGCGCGGAGACTTCGAACAGGTCGGGGCCAGCCCCGTTTTGGGATGGATGCTGGGCGTCGGATGAGTCTGAAATCCAGGTGTTTTTGCTGGATTTCTTGGGTGGGATTCATTGCCAGAGACGTTTTTGCGCACAAAGTCGACAGGAATTCGTTTGCGAGCATTTGCAGATTTCTACTCAGTATTGGATGGGCCATGCCCCACTAGTCATAATACTTGGATGGTTTATGTAGTTTTTTTGGATCTATGTCATATGTGTATCGATTTACATCATCCTACTCTCACGGCGTTTGTTTGCTTGGATGAAAAGGAAGCACCATGGAATAACATTTGGATCTACCATGGGCCATGAGTTTCATTGTCCCTTTTTCAAATACCTTGGAACGCCGGAATGGCCCGAAGCGCTACGAATTGGTGCCAAAACCTGGAGGTCGAAGCTCGTATGCAGAGGATGGAACGCGATGGCTTAGAGATCGACGAGGAGATTCGGAAGCAGAGCAGACGATGCGGAAGCGAAGTCTGTTGGAGATCACTGATTTTACAAATGAACGTGAAGTGTTTGGGATTCATTACTCCTGACACTTATATAAGATGATTGATCTTAAGATTTGTATTGACCCTGGCATTCTTGTTGAGCGAGCGAACCATGCGGCTTTGGGGCGCCAACCTGAATGCTGGATGTTTGGCTGGTTGTGTTTCACCCGGCACTTGCTGGAGTCCTCGGTCAGTCTGCTTGCTTTTATGATGTGCGTTTCATGACCCTTTTGAAGGACTCAAAAGTGTGAAAGATCGGAAAATTACAAAACTCATGTTTTTGTTTACTTTAAATAGGTTATAATATATAGTTGGTACGTTACAGTATGACATTGTGGTATATAGCCTAAAGCAAGACCGCGTGATTTTCCTCAAGTATATATATATATATACACATGTAGCCCCAAAATACAACCTTGTTTGGTATCCCCAAAATCAAATGATATGTAGAAACAAAGGCTGCAAAAGTTTGCAAAAACACATATTGTATATCGAGAACAGCTCATATGTCGCTGTTTTGCATAGGTCAAGTACCGTAATTTAGCCTTCGTTCAACAAATTTAGATACTGGTCGCCAAGGGTCTGGGAGAATGAGAATCTATGAAGTTCCTCCACCACAGTTCTGCCAGTTTCTGTCTTGGGAAACCACATATGTTCTGTTTGTTCTTCGAAGCATGGGGTCCCAGGCCTGGGTGCCTTCCTTTGAGTCCAATAGAGACGAGTGGTCGTGAAGGGCCTCGGTGGACCCGCATCGACCCGCCTCGAGGTCCCGCCTCGACCCGGCCGTAGGACGCTTTGACGGTTCTCCTGTTGGCCTACGGCTACGCGAAGCCACAGCAAACCCTGCTGGCCGAGCAGATGTGAGGGGCCTCGGAACGGCTGAGCAGTGGGGAGGGCCTAAGGGTATCTAAGGGTTCCTCACAACCAGGAGGAACACCTGAGGTTCTTTGGAACCCCCCGTTCTCCTCATGTTTACTCTTGGTCCCTGGGTTCCGGAATTGTCTCAAAGCCTGAGAAGAGTACAAAACAAGCGATGCAACGTGAAGTTCAGATCATTCCCGTCGTGGCAGTTTGTTTGCTGTTTGAGTCTGCATCGATTCTAATTTGTTTGAACAAGAAATGGCGATAACTATAACAAAACCGATGACCTTTTGTATATAAAACCACACCTGTGCACTTAACAATTTAGCCTAGCAAATTTGGCTGAAAAGTGAGCTTGAGCTGTGCAACTGCGTTTGGGGTGAATTTGCAGGTTGACGGGTCATGTTACCAAGAGTGTCGAAATCCATTGAAGATGTCACACATTGTCAGAACTTTGCAAACGATACGACGTGTTGCACATTGCCAAAGCAGTGCAAAACAATACCATTTGTGTTGGGAAAAGCACTGTTCCACCATTTTGTACACACTCACCGTGGACCCGGTCAGACCTCGTTTCCGTTCTGATTCGTTGCCCACCAAGATGAAGAATTCGTGTGCACGCATGACTCCAATGGACACCCACCATGTCACTAAGTTCATCCACAGATGAGGATGAGGATACGAAGCAAATGGAACAGGCACGCCTTTGACATGGCGGAGGACATGCGTTTTCACCCTTCGCTCCCGCCGGGCGTCCGAACCCACCGAACCCGTGGTTTCGGAGGTTCAAGCAGCAGATGCTGCGAGGGAAGGTGAAGGCGACCAGAGAGGTCCTCGAGGCCGGTCCGCGAAGGGTCCCTGATCTGCGAGCACCATCGGGTTGGCATTGCAGATCAACATGACATGTCAGCTTGCTTGGGAGTGTTTCATAAATTCGCAGTCAGCGTGCGTTGCTTTGCATGGTGATTTTGACATCAAGTAGTTCAGACGAAGATTTTACTTGGGAGGTGAAGTGAGAGACACATCACATCACACTTGGGAGGCATGGCTCACATGTCGAAATCAGCTTTCTCAGTGCATTTGCAGTATTCTTAAAAATGTTATTAACATGTGGCCCGAACTCGTACCCCCTCTCCATCCTTCTCTGAATCATGCCATGCAATTTCCCCATGCCTCATTTTTAGATGTACCTTTGTATGTGCTCTCATTGACTGGATTGATATGGAGCCGGCAACGAGGGACACTCAACGCGATCAGTTGAAGCCCTTCCGTCAAGGGCTTCGGTTTGCCTCAACTTCTGGGGTGTGGGCAAACACCGCCATTGCCTGTTTGCATGACAGTTGCAAAGATTTGCCATTCTTACGCTTAAGAAGATTGATCATCATGGCTTCATCACCCGTGGAATGCTCTCATGGCAGCTGCAAATCCCTCACTTTGGGTCCTCACGTGACCCTTTCATATTCTGCATATTTCTGCATCATTGCAGCATTGCAACCTGGAATGCACTCCACGTGCATTGGGACCTGCAAGCGCCAGCCATGGCTAGCCATCCGTTCGGAGAAACAGGAGCTGGTGTGCGTTTTGCTTTCAGTGTGAGGTGCACATTCCCAGAACCAGCTGTTCCGTCTCCCCGTCTCCGGTAGCACCGGCACCAGCCGGGTCGTCCCATCTCCGTCAGGCCTTGCGCCTGGCGGTCGGCGGTGCTCGCTGCCTGCAGCTCAGGCTGCGGCCTGGACAGCCAGAGAGTGTGGGGCGGACGTTTCCTCGTGTTGTGTTGAGTACGAGCAATGATTGTTGCAGCGCGATCCGAAGAATCAGGCTACCCTTCAAGTGACGCCTTACATGGATGGTTGTTTGCTTTATGAAGGGTGGTGTTCAGTCCGCTCAGTGGGGTCTTTGGGTGATCCCTGAACTCAATAGGCCTTGTTTTATGGTCCCCTTCCTGTACATGTGTGTTTTTTTGTCCACCTCTTGCACACGGGGACTTGTAGGAAAAGTCATCATGCATGGGTCATGGGCGTCATGGGTCACTGTTCTATCAGGTCGCTGGTTCACACGTGCTTTGGTATATCCTGCTCGTGTGTTCTTCACAGTGTCTCATCATAGGGAGCAATCAGAAGGCTTTGCAGAGGTCTTGCAGGTTTTTCCCATCAAAACTCATGCAGGAGCAACGCCCCAAAAAAGTCCCCAAAACGATAGGCTTTCCGATGCCACGTGGTTGTGGGATGTTGTGAATCGGCCAGATAGTCATAGAGCAATCCAAAGGAAATGGACTGAAATGGATTTCATTTAGGCAACCGCACTAACCCAGCTTAAACCCAGCTAAATGGATTTCCATGGGTGGAATTTAGGCCAAATCCATCCATCCCCGGCCACTGGCTGCGCCGGGCCGTCACGGGCCGTCACGGGGTTTTGTTGGACCTCTACCGACCGACCGGAGAGCTCCAATCCACCGACCGACCGGAAAGTTCTCGGGTTGGACCGTCGAATCCTGAGATGAGATGTTTGTTGAAGATGCTTTTGTTACCTGTTTAAAATCCACGATGACATGTCCACTAAGGAATATCAACAGGGATTGTTTAACTGATGTAGCGCTGGGTAATTGAATGATCGATATTGATTACTGTTGAGAAAAGTTACTGTTGAGAAGCATAAATAAAAGAACGCATTCTGGACATAAATTGAATTGAAAAGTCCTTTGCAGTTTATAAAAGTCCGCAGTGCGATTTGGTTTTCAGACATGTCCAATGTTGAGGATCTGACTCAAAGAGGATTTCAATATATTTCAATGCTTGTTGGATGTATATACTCTCATTTCGCAGGCGTGAGTTGCAGATCGGCACGCCCGGGATGCCCAGCGTGAAGGTGAAGAGTCACGTGACACGAAACGCACGACTTTGGGTTTGAAACTGTTGGGTCGAGAGTGGACTCTTTTGCTTTGGTACGAAAGCGGTAGCTGAAGTGCCGAATTCGCTCATGTTCTCCGTCTTCGGTAGCTTTGAAAGCAATGGTTTGGAATGTACTACTGAGACTGGTTCTTTAGGTCAGGTCTGGTTTTCTCGCAAGAAAAAGGGATTGAGTGGATACACTTCACAGGCATACATAGCCCGAAACCTTGGAGAAGGAAGAGGATTCTTCGGATTCCTGGGTTGGCCCTTTTGCTTTTGGGAAGGCGAGAAAAGGGTAGGGTAGGGTAGGTGAGACTGACGCACAGAACCGACACAGATGGATCTCGATTTGATCTAAGGACCAAGAAGTCTCCGTCGGGGCCCCAACGCAAGACTTCCGCTGTCATTCTGGTGGCACCCAACAACAAACCCAGGAAGCCACAGTACACTCCCAGCCAAAGCTTCTCCTGGAGACAGGGCTTCATTGGGCCAATCACTGAAGAGGACAGTTTCCGCTGTTCAAAAGCACAGGAGGGAGCAGTCAGCAGAAGTCCAGAGCTGAGGAATTCCAGTTTTAGGTTCAGTATGGCCGATGACGTTCCTCCATTTGGCACAAGGCGCTATCTCTCCTCAAGAGGCACTGGATGATCCCACTTTAAGATAGCTTTAGCATGCTTAAGCAGCCTTATTTCTATGGGAACAAATAACTCCAAAGAAAAAGACACGGACCCCAAAAAAGGTGGTAAATAGGCGTCGTCGACTCCGTGTCTCCGTGTCGCGAGCGAGTGGGGCCAAATGGCAGAGCTCCGTGTCTCCGCTTCGACCGGTCCACCTGAATTGCACAAGTCACCAGATGTCACCAGCCCGCAGGCAAAGTGGTGTGCCAGAGGTGCCAAGTTGTTTTCGGCCTTCCCAAAAGGTTTTAAATGAATGCGGCCTCCACAAGGACAGGTGTATAAAGAGTTGTTTACTGTATACACCTTAAGAACATTTACACACCCTACGGCTCAGCCCATGATCCATACTATGGGCTTTGCTCCGTTCCAACAGCGGGCTGCAGGGCGTTGAGTCGCCTGGCGCGACTGTCTCTCCCAGGCAGGAGGCCATTGACTATGCGGCCAAATCGGCAGCGGCCCGGACCCTACCGGCAACCGGGACGAAGAAAAACACGCAGTTGGGCCAGTTGCCTGGATTTCGTGGGTAGCCAGTATCCCAGTATGTTCAAACTAGACGTGCAAAGAATGAGTTTGCTTGGCGCTTTTGTTCTTCCTGGCTGGACTTATTATGTACATGGACTGTACACTGTATAGATATGTATAGATCTTATATATATATATACGTGTATATATATATATGTATATTGTTGCAGACACATGCAGACACCACGTGTTATGTGTTTTGCCAGAATACAAGAGATACAAAACAACGATCTTTCCCAGACATGAAACGAGTGAACCTCCTAATCTTTGAACGTAGATCAAATTTAACATCAACTCTGGAACCCTTAGAAAGCATCTAGGAACAAGTGCATCGCTACTAGTAGCTAGAAGCTATTAGAAAGCATCCCCATCACCCACCAAACCTCAGCCATCCTCCCTTTTCGCCAGGGGAAGAACCAAAACCCCATGGGCCGGAGTCGGAGTCGGAGTCGGGGCCTGAGGACGTCACAGCAAACCGCGCTCTCAGTGCACGGAGGGATCCATGTAGACATGGGATTCAATTGTGCATTCAGGATCATTCAGGTCCCTTCTTCTTTGGACGTCCCTTCTTCTTCACTGAAGTTGATTCGGTGTATGTTCGCCCGAAGCCAGATGGCAGACCCGCAGACAGAAGCCAAATGGAATTCAGAGTCGAGTCTTCCAGTCACCCATGACCATGACCGTGCATGGCCTTTATATATATATATGTATACCCTCCAAAGATTGAACTCTTTGATGCATGTCTTCTTGGAGTTAGATCACCCTCAGTCAGGGCCATCACCCAACTGCCACGCGTCGCCGTGCCCACGCGCTCCAGGTCGTGTGTGGAAGAGTTTCCTCCCGCCCGAGCCGCCACAGAAGCGTCTCAAGTGGGAATGACCCAACCGCGCGTTGGGAAAAGGAAGAACGGCGGTTGGGCCGGTGTTTGTCCATGCCAGGTGAAGAGCCCCTTTGGATTTGGGCGGGAGATTGGAGAGAGTGAACTACTGATTCTATACGTAGAAATACCATCGCGTGTTTTTACCTTTGCAGATGGTGCAGGAAATAAATCCTTCGATTTCAATGATGAATGTTGTTTCAACGTACTTAGCGATGGCATCCCAGTCTTGGGCTTTAGTGGAATGGAGTAGCCCAGGTTCGAGTCTGGATCCAACCCAAAGTGCATGGCTCAGAAGATCATCTCCATATTCGAATATCTCCCAGTGCTGGATTTACAATTAAGTACTGCAAGGAAGAAACGTCAGAATCCATTTATTCTGTTGTTTGTTTCCTTTGCTTTAGATCTTTTAGCAGTGTCCACAGTGTCATGGACTTCAGAATGATCAAGATGCACCGGATGATGAACTTAAGGATGACTGCCATTGAGGTACAACCTCGCGAGATGCATGACTCGAAGGATGACTCAAGGGTTGTCTTCATGGATGACTCCAATGTACAACCTCACGAGAGGAGAAGATGTTGCAAGGTCAAACTCAACCACCTGGTAATTGGAACGCCGATTGGCCAACGGATCCTTCCTTCCTGGCAGCTCTGGCTCAGAATGTCTGGAGGTGTGCCCTCCACCCATTTTCGAGGTGAAGACGGAACACTTGCTTTTTGAACCAGACTTGTTGAGGGAGAAACCAGGATGGCGCCCTAGTGAAAGGTAGACCACCAAAAGGATCCATGAGGTTAAAGGGGTGTGGCTCAAGACCCAAGAGCCCCAGGGGGTCAAACGATACGTCCTTTACCAGTGGTGGTAAACCATAGCCAAAGGATGCCAAAGGAATGTTCATAATGTCTTTGTGCCCGACTGAATTTGGGGGGCAGTCCAGTCCAGACATGTTTGCTGCCCTTGCAGACCTACCTCGATGGGATTCCAGAAGGCTCGGGGTTTCGCTGGCGCTCGCTCGCTCGCTCGCTCTCTCCCTCTCCCTCCCCCTGCTGGTGTTTTATTGCATTGTGTTTTTTTCGTTCACTTGGATACATGAAAGCTATGGAGTTTTTGCCCGCAGCTCAGATGAGTTCGGGCCAAGAGTGAAATCGAGGCAGCTTCGGTCCAAATCCACTCAGTCCCCTGCCCCAGGTCTGAAGAGGGTACAAAACACGTCCAGTCCTGCGGTCTTCTGTGTATCTTGCATTGAGAGTTGGATCAACCATTTGGTCAAGAGTAGATTCCGTTGCCAAAACACTGAAAGGCCGTTCACGGCTGTAGACTATCCTCAGCTTTCAAGTGAAATGACTCAACTGGATGTGATTAACGCTGTGCCGCTCCAGTCTGAATGTTGGTGAAGCAATTCACCAGATACCAGCCAGTTCTGCTTCTGATCGAGCATGTGTTTCCACTTGCATGGGCATGATTTGTTGATTTCGCGACCAGACAGCAAGGTTGATTGGGGGCAGTTTTGTGTTGTTGTATGACACATTCGGTAGTTAGCTCTTGATGTGATGAACGCTGTGCCGCTCCAGTCTGAATGTTGGTGAAGAAAAGCACCAGATACCAGCCAGTTCTGCTTCTGATCGAGCATGTGTTTCCACTTGCATGGGCATGATTTGTTGATTTCGCGACCAGGCAGACGTCAAGGTTGATTGGGGGCAGCTTTGTGTTGTTGTATGACACATTCGGTAGTTAGCTCTTGATGTGATG